CTCTCCTGTTCCAGCGGGTAGCCACAGCTGGCGTGCTCTCCGGGTCTCTGCAGGTTAATGACGGTCTTCAGGCCGCACCTGAGGACGGTCAGCAGGACAGAAGTGTGTCAGAAGCAGCTCGGTGCCACAGGGAAGGGCCCCGGTGGCCCCAGATCAAATGCTACCTTTGGAATTGCTGGATCAGCTGATACTTCTCTATTGTTTCAGAGGACGGCCTCGCCATGGCGAGCAGGTTGTCGGTAATCCTGCGGACAGGAAAGTAAAGGTGGGAAGATAGAAGCTGGGAGGTGACTAGACCAGAACCTGGAGCTCAAAGACCCACCAGGAGGAGTAGAGGCCTTTGATGACCTGCTCCTCATCCCTCCAGCGCGACGGGTTCTCGTATTTACAGGCCCTGCCGCCACACGCCATGGAGCACTGCATGGGACCAGGGATCACGTGTCTCAGTGTCTCCCCCATCTTGGTGTACTTGGCGGTGGGGACTCGGCTGCTGGCTGGAAAACAGAAGCCTTCGTTTATTAATCTCAGCGGAGCAGAGCTGGCTTCGCTCTGCTGCTGAGCAGGTGGTCACCATGACAACCATTCAGACCTCAGATCTGAGGCGGCTGCTGACCGTCGGGCCGCCGTGGACCCAGCAGCTGCCTCCATCTTTGGTCTGTTCATCGTTCTAGCATAAAACGGGAAAGAAAAAGGAATCTGAGATCTGCTCAGGGGGGTTTTCCATCTGGAGTTTCTTCCTGCTCCTATTATGTCACCTGGCAACACCAATTCATCCCATTGGTCGGTTAAAACACTGAAACTGTTTCTTCAGTCCACGTTATCCCTTTCTAATGAACGTTGCCTCAAGCCCTGAAAACATCGGCTGCTTCCGACTTTTTAATCTCCGACCGATTTTTTTTTTCCATGTCCCACTGACTGTGTATAGAGAGGCTCTGACTAGGCAGGCTGAGCAGATCTATTCACTCCTTTCTGTGCTAAATATACATTATAGCCATTTCCTTACATTTGACTGGAACAGATTATGAAAAGTTATTTAAAATAAATTTAAAAACCCTACCGTTTCTATAAAGCAAAGCTCTACTTAATGACTCAGCATCTAGAACCAGAACAGATAGAGAATGTGTTTGGAAAATTTTGTTTCTCTTATTTCATATATTAATTTCTCCTATTTACTCACTATAAAAGTTTTCACTCAGGCTGATTCATCTGCGAGGCGCCGCCGTTCCCCTGAGTGAGGCTGTTAGTAGACCAGACCTAACCTTCTTCGCTTTAGCAACCAGGATTATTCATAACGTTCTACTTTTTAACCAAAGTTTAATTTGTAGTTTGTGTAATTTGTCTGTAACTTGTTTCCATTATAGTAAGTAAGGAGGAATGGACGCTGTCCAGACGAGAACAGGGCTGATTACCAAGCAGTAAGGGCCGCATGATGAACTGTTCCAACTGAGTGGAATCCATCGATCGCTGTTTATATAATGCGGTGAATCGTTCAATACTTTTTTCCCACTACAATGTTCATTTATTAAAAACATAATGAGATCTACGTCTAAAGAAAAAGGCAGCAATAAACTCTGTGGGACGGTTTCTATGGTTACTGAGGCAAATAGGTGATTCTCAGAGAGATCTGGGAAGTTTATCCAAGTTTTTCTTTCTTTTTTCCATAGAGAGGTGAGATCTGACCTGCTCTGTCTGCTCCTCCTTATTTTGGTTTCTGTGAGGCTCAAAGAGGATCACTACTTTATCCGTTTTCTGATCTCCTGTCATGGGGAAAGTT